TCACAAAAACATAAACCCAACCAACCGAGTAAAATGTGCACAGGGACTTCAACGAGTGAGAAATAATTTTAATTCAATTACTAGATGGCTCTTGAAAATCAACATTATTGCAGTGTTAGCTTAAAATAAATAATGATCAAAGCCACTGCTTTCCATGAGGCAGGCAAAGATGGGACCAGGCCAAGGCACAAAAAATGTCTTAGCCCAACAGTTTCAACAGGACAGGAGCCTGCTTATCATGATGGATGCTGAGCCCATGCGCTGAACTGTTCTGGGATACCAAGGGGGGGCGGGATTGTTCCTTTGACTCCTAAGAATTTGGGAATGAAGACAACTAAACATGTTTCCAATATTCCACATATTCAAGTTGTGCTGTGTGGGTTTTTAGAGAACTGTATGTTTTGACAGTCAAGTCCAGATGTTTTTATTGTGTTTTAGCTGTTTGTCATAGTCCAACAAATGGTAGCATTTTTTAATATTGTACCAAGCTCTATACTTGAATTTGCCACCAGGTCCTTGGTTGATGTCTTACCTGAAATCTGATCTTACCTTCTTATGCAAAACAATAAATTATTGATACATCACTGAAGGTGTTTTTTCTTTATTGTAAATTGCACCATAACATACAGGCTTTTTGAAAAGGTGAAATGCCCAAGTAGTAAGTTATTTCATAGGTTTATTAACAGTTGTGCTCCAATTATCTTTAAATGGGAAAATAAAGCAACCTGAAACAGGGACTAAAATACTTAATTTTTACTTTTCATTGCCAAATTCTCCTTCAGAATGGATGTTTACCCTTTCCTGCAGCCCACCCCAAAATAAGCCATTTTCTTTCTGAGGCAGAAAGCTTAAGTCAGTGGGTCAGTGCTTAGAGTGCTATCCAAGTTACGGACTCGGAGTGCTTCATTGGACACATATACTCCTAGGCCACTGCATGCCCCACAGGAGGTTGTGTTCATTTGTAGGACTCAAAGTAATGCTTAAACGAAGTCACTTTTTGCAATGTTTTATGTCTTTTCTAGAAAAAAAAGAAAAAAGCCTAACACATAGTAGGATTAGAGAGGAGACTTTTAAGCCCTCTCTGTTTTGTTTCAGTGCAGTATTCTGCATTTCCCACGTGTACTTAGGTTCAGGTTTCTACTGTGCATGGAGAATTATTCCTCAGTAAAGCTCATATTTACTTTTGGTTAGATTGTTTCAAAGGATGAATAGCTTCTTCAGAGATTCAAAGTTATAATCTAAATGTATTTTTTTTATTGCGGTGTCTACAGTCATTTCACCACAGGATTAAGAGTTTTCTGTGCATCAGAGCTTAAAATCATTTGTATTTGCAGTTTGCCCAAGAACCTTTTGCTCTCAAAGTCATTAAGTGTTTATCATATGTTAGCATGATTAATGTGTGATACGAAGCATTCAACAGGAAAATGTCCGAACGCTAAATTGAAGGAGCACAGTGAATGTAGTTGTTGTTTAAGAATTCTGGTGCTAGATAACGGTTAAAGATTTCAGCAGGAACATGCACAAAAACATTTGGAAACAGTTAAAGTCTGGTCTTAAATTTTGTCTTATGTTAAATGACAGTACAAATGAGAGAATTTGGAGCTCTAGACAGCTGGAGATTTTTCCCCTCTTGGTATCTGTGTCTGAAATACAAGTTGGATATTTGGAAGACTGTATGGAATGATTTTACATCTCTATAATAAAATGCTATGGTATTTTGTGTAGCTGACATCCAACATTTTAACAAAGAGGGTAAATCCTTATGATTACCGAGACTTTTCTATTTTTCTCTATTTCAGTTGTACACGTATGCCTGTTTAAAAATTTTTAAAGACTTAATGCACAGAGCTGCCAGCCACAGGTTTCAGCGTATGAATGGAGGGAAACATCTTCAGGATTTCTAAAAGGCTTCAAATGGCACAAAAAAAACCACGTTTGAAAGCTTCTTGATAAGAAATAAAAGAGAGAAAAGTAGGTCACAATGTCTTTTGTAATTAGATCTGTTTCTTTTCAATAGCCATATTCATAGTCATGACTTGAATACACTAAAAAATGAAGACATGTTGTAATTTTCCTCAAGTGAAATTTAGGTTCTGTAGGATTATACACAGGCTCATGGAAGCTTAGTTTTAAGAGATTAGGTACATGTTTTAAAGGTCTGTGGGTATGGCAGAGAAAGACTGAGAATGTTACAAATGCTAGTGCTACCCTAGAAATGCATCTTTGTTTTTGTAAGTCACTGAACAAGGAGGTTGGCAAGTTGGCTGTGAATGTTCTGTGGTTTCTGTTCCCTCCTTGGTAAATATCAATAAGCGCCAGTAAATCCTTATTGGTTAGCAAAGCCAAAATTGTTGGCATTATGGAGAGTTGAAATGTAGTACCCAGAAAGAGTACTCCACATCCTGGTGATGTTGGCAGAGCTCTTGCTTTACTTTCTTCTGGTTTTGTTAACTTGTACAGCAACAGTACAGTGATCACAGCTTTAACGTGAACTTAACAAACTCTATTTAATCACTGGCAATCTCATTCTGGTTTTGTCTCTTGGCTCTCATAGAGCTTTAGTTTAGTAATCTCAATCATACAAAGGGTAGAAAGGGATAACGACTTGTCTTGGAAAATAGACACTAAAAATCTGGTACAAGGACATTTTTTACCTCCTTCCCAACAGATTCTTGAGGTGATGTGTTTCCGCAACAGAGGTGAAGAGCTAGCACGCGATCAAGATGGAGAATCACATGAACAGTGTTTTGTCCCATGAAAACAGAACTGCTCCAAGAGATACCTGTGGTACAAAAGACCAGGAGCAATTTTAAATCTCAAGCCACCAGCGTTGGCTTCAGGGGCTCTTGTTTAAGAAAATGCCATCTGGGAGCAGTTCCGCTTGTTTTCTGTGTGACCTTGGACACCTCGTGGTGCGTCCCCTCCCTTTCCTAGATTTGCATTACCGACTTATTTTTAAGCACCAATGATTCCTTGAAATTAGCCTAGTCTTCAAGTGGTGGGAGTAGTCATGTTTCATGATCAAGGTGCACATTTATGATGGAGGCAACTGCAGAGATGGAAGCAGGTGTTGAGACCACTCCATAATGCATGCAGGCCCTTTCACATTGTATTCTCTGAGATCTTTGCATACCCACGTATGGGTTATGCTTCCCCATAAAACCTACTTTGATGTAGCTTCTGGAGCCATACTCCCAAGTACAGACTGGCCTATGTTAGGCACGTTATGAACACGGAACAAAGATGTAGTCCCAGGTTCAAAGAAGCTCATAAAAAAGTCAGATCACAGAACAGTGCAGACCAGCAAGAAGGTGTAAAGAGATCCAGTGAGCACAACTCCTGTTATCAACTGGCACTGAAGGCTGTGCTGGCACAGTAGGGTAGTTAGGTCTGGGATTCAGCGTATCACAAGAGGGTGAAATGTTTCAGGGGCTTGCTGGCCAGGCTTCAGCCCTTTCTGGGTCCAGGCACAGCTGAGGGGTAGCAAAAGGTTGGTCCTAGGAGCTGTGAGGCCAGTTTGACTGCAGGAAAGAATTTAGCTGTGTCTGTATGAGCTGTGCTTTGCCTCTCCTTCAGAGCAAGAACAACAGGCCTTGGCCCATTTTAGTGACTGGTGCAGATGGAGGCAGCATGTTTAATGTTCCATTTGCAGTTCTGGCTACCATTGATAGTAAAGCACGAAAGGAGTCTGGTGGGTTTTTCTGTTGTTGAAAACTGACCTAAAAGCTTTGTTATTATTGGTGCTATCTGGGTAGTATGAAAAAGCAGCTTCGGTTATTGGCCCTGCTGGGGTATTATTCCAGATGTTTTTCTTTACACAGCTGTTAAGCAGGAAGTAGAACCAAAACCAAAGATTGATTTGAACCATTGTTTTGTCAAAAACCAGAACTGAATCTGAATTATTGTCTTCTCTTGACTGCATTGAATTCAAACCATCATTGCCCCCAGCTGGACCCAGCCCCGGCTCAAACAAAACTGAACAAAGCACAGACTCTGACCGCACTTCTGAATAGGTGAGACTTTGAAGGCTGAGTCTGCATCTTGTTACAGTTGCAGCTGATGTTACCTTTCTGCCAATAGCAACTTTGTTTTATTGTGCATGTGTGCATATGCATATATGTTTATGTATTTACCAAGTGGTGTGGTGTATACCCTTTTATTTAAATGAAAAAAGCAGGCTTATAAAACCAATGTTTACTGCTTAATTGGAAGATTAATGACAGGCTGTAGAAGTCTACTGGTATAATAACAAAGTTTTAGCAAATAGATGCGTGGTTCAGTGCTGGCACGACTCTTGCAGATCGCAGGAATCTTAGAATTTTACATCTCAAATATACGGTTTAGCCTCTGTTTTGTGAAAGTCAGAAGAGCTTGATTGAATGCAGACGGCAAGCTTGTTCACTGCAAACCTAGTTAAACATGAAATCTTGCTGGGATTAGCCTAATTGTTCCCTAAATGAAAAGGCTGCTTTGTACATGGACTTGAATTTTATGCTTGCCAGATAAAGCAACGTGAACCTGTCAGGAGACACAGGAACTTGTCTGTGTAGGAGTATCACTGGGCCAACTGTCTTGCCTTTTATGCGATACTGTGGTGTAAAACACCACTCCACCGGTTTCATTTTACAGAAAATAGGCTCTGTGGTGGTATCCTGTGGGAACTGAAGTATCAGGTTCTATTTTCCCTTCAGAAGTCCAACTACACATGTACCCCGCTTCTGAAACTACACTCTCCATGAATGCAGCCAGCCACATGGGCTCGAGGGATGCTGTGGCATGGCAAGGGAGCTGCAGGGAAGCTGTTCCAAGCAAAGCAGGAGGTGCCATGGTAGAGACTGCCATAGGTAACACCACAGTATTTGAAATGAGAAATGCTATTTCTGATGAGGTTATACAGCAACTTAGTAGAAAAGGAAGCTTTATTATTCACTTTTTAATTTTCAGAAGTTTATCTGACATTTCTGATTATCAAACATTGATGGCAAATTCTTCTAGTTTTCTTTTGGCATCCCTGCTGCCAGCTTGAAAGCAAGAGTTGCTGTGATTGAAGCCTTTATTCTGTATATAACTGTAATTGGAAAAGATGTGGAGTTCCTATCTTCCAAAGCCTCCAGACCAAGCAAATAAAGACAAAATTTCTGCAGCTGTTCTCAAGGGACCTGTTCTGTTTAATCTTGTTTCCTTTCTCCCTAACCAGTCTTCTCAAAAAGCCTCTCCATGTCAGGGGCCAGTGTGGAGCAAAAAGGAGAGGCTGGCCAGGAACCGCTGGAAAGGAGAAGCTGGGGCACTGCCGGGCTCTGAACAACTGGGAAGTCTGCGAGCCCAGTGCAAAAGTGAGCAACCTATGGGTGAAAAACAGCATGGGAAGATGATTTAAGCAGCAAGGTGTTGTTTATTCCCTCTTAACTATGAGAAGGAGCAGTCTCTGTCCCTGTGCCTTTCATTGTAAGCATTCAGTAGGGAGCGGCTGAGTTACCCTCCACGGCAGGCAGAGCACTCCCAACATGCAGTGCTTAACTCCATCGTGGCAGACATGCGTGGTTTCTCTTCACAGTGTCATGGTCTGAACATAGGTCTTGACTTCATGGTCTCCACAAGTCATTTTCTGAAAAGTGGCATCAAATCCTGCCTACTCTTAGAGACTGCTCAAGTCAATCAAGTCTGGAAATAGATTGAAGTGTTTGTGTATTACTGACAAGGTGGGTGCATTCTTAATCCTGACTCTTCTTCATGTTCATCTACTTTGTACCAGAGGGATGGTGGTGGCTGTTATTAACTTTGCTACCACTGGCAAAATGTGATGCATTTATGCACTTGGTGTTACTGTCCTTGAGACTGTATTTGAGTACCTTCAGTGAGCCGCTTCTGCTCAGATTTTCTCCAGGAACCCCTGGGTTGCTCCCAGCTTCAGTAACTTGTCTGTCACAAAGTCTAAGTGGAAAACACAAGAGGCCAAACTCTCTCTAAATCTGAGGTCTGTTGCAGGGAGGCAATGCTACTGCTCTGCTCCCTGCACAGCTCCACTTATGGCAGTGATTACTTGGCTTGGCCTCACTAGCATCATGTAAAATCCCTATGGATCCTCATGGTTCCAGTGTTCAGGATTGATGATTCTTCCTTCTCTTTTAGCATCTTGTGAATAACTTATAACTTTTTTCATGCTAATGCAACTCCCTCTCTTCCTGGTAAATTTTTTGCCGTTGGAAAGTGCTTAGTCTGGATTGCTTTACTATTAGTACCTAACAGCTGCTGCTGCTTTCTGTATTATGTGTATGGGACAAGTATGAAATAGCAGCAGATAGCTTGACACTACTTCAACCCCTAAATAAGTGATAGTAGGAACTCTTCCTAGAGCTAGCCTCAAATGACTTTTATCTGTACCACTTAAACAGCACACGATTGTTCATGCTGTTAAGCAGCCTGGCGTGGCGCAGATGAGATGCCAGTGGATAAAAATACAGTGCTAGTGAAGTTAGAAAAGTTTCATTTCTATTTTAACAATGTCAGAGTTTTACCTCTTGTCTTTCTGTGCCTGGGAAATTAGGAATGCCTTTGCTCTGAAGACCTTGTAATCTAATGCCAGGTATTGAATACTTTTACTGTTGAGCTTTAGTGCCTTGTTTCATGTGTGGTCCCTTTGACTTCAATCATGATAGAGTTGCCAGTTCTTACCCTGGAACTAAGCTGATGACTTCTCTGGGATCGGGGTCTGGCTTTGAAATAAGATGCAATCAGCAGAGATGATAAATACTTCAGCGAGTAATCAAACATGTAAGAGCTCTCTGGCTATTTTCTTTGGATTAGTATCTGGGAGTGAATTTCAATGCAAATTCACCCAAGTTGTGTCAAGCATGCGATAGTAAATACGTGCTGCTGATAAATCTATTGACTCTTTGTCTAAATTATTTAATGCAAATTGTAGGATTGTGTTAGACTGGCCTTCCCTTTGCTGCTTAGCTGTTCACCCAAGGTTTCATTTCTTTTATATCTACAATGTCTTCCTGATAAGCTTCTCACACACTTCTAAGTAATTTCCCAAGTGCTCTCAAAATGGAGGCAGCAATTCATCTCTGTCACGTCAGGCACTTATTACTGAAATCTCTAACAGTGTTTCAGAGTAATTAACCTTAATTAACCTTAAGCCTTAAAAGGTTTTCTACTGTTGATCAGCATGCCTGTAAGCTGCCAGTCACACATCTGTAAACTTGGAGCTGTCGAGCAGTTAGTAAACCCGTATAAAGAGAGCTCCGTCTGCTTTACTGATTTGGGCTCGAGCAAAGGCTAAGCACTATATATTTCTACTTGTAAACTGCATATCTTGGTTTTTTCGCTATTATATTTCTGTGTAATACTTTCCAAACTATTTTATTGTACTCTACAGTTAAAAAGCCACCTGGATATTCCTTTTCTAGCCTTTTCTTTTGAAACTATCTCTAAGCCTTTTTGCATGTTTTTGTAATGTGCAAGGCAGACTCAGACAACAGAGGTTTTCAGAAGACTTGTGCAGCTGGTAGATTTTTGATGATTTCATTTCACAATTCTTTTGGAATAAATGTGGGTACAACGAGAACAATGAGTAAAATGTTGGTTGTGCTAAATATAAGTGATCTGGTTTAGAAAAACATTAACACTTTTGTCGGCTCAGTTACACCTTTGCATCACTCTACTATAGCAGAGAAAAAAAAAAGAGTCTAACAGATGTACAGTAAGTACATGAATGGGGTGAACCAAGGAAATGTCATAAATCCTTTGTACTAGAACATTCTGTGAGAATGAGAGTACATCCAGGTGTTCTTTGAACCCCGTGAGCTGATTAAAGTGAGCAGTAGAAGCTGAACTAACAGTACCGAAATACAGGAAGATAGATGCAGGTGATTGGGATTTACACAGCTCATTTATAGGAATGGCAGGAATGCCATGCTTGGGAAGTGGGGGAGATGAATACTCACAACTTTCTCCAAGTGGGAAAACTGGTTGTGGGGAATCTCTTAAATATCTTCTTCCACAGGAAGTAAAATTTTATTTGTTTATAAGTAAAACATTCACTGCTCTGCTGAAAGAAAAATGAGACACGTGATGAGTTGAAAGAGCACAGCCAGTTATGAGCAGTATCTAGGCTCTTCATGAAACAGTGAAATACTGAGTGCTAGAAAAGGATAATCAGTTTTATGCATTTTTAAATTAATACAAAATGCTACTCTCCCACTTCTGCTGTACAGCCTGGGTTTTAGAATGTCAAGAAAGTATTTGACATTTACAAGAGACTGCAGGCACTAATACAAATCATTTTTATCCCTTTATCCATTTTAACCACCAGGCTGAGTGAATTGTTGGCTCTGTGCAATTAGTTTCTGTGCTTCTTGACAATATAACCACAGATTATCATGAATTCTATTAATAATGCAAGGTGGAAGCTCTGTTCTTCAAGTCTGTTATTTTACTTCTAGAAAAACATCTAATTTCTTACAAGCTGATATAAATAGGCCAGCTGACAAGTATCCCAAAAGAACAGAGTATGCTCGGAACAGTGAGATTTGAACTGACGTATTTTTGGCAAAAAAAAAAAAGTTATACAGGCTGTATTTGTCTGAAAGTTTAAAAATAGGAGCCTTTGTCACATATGGGAGGAGAGACCAGGTTGAGTCATGATTGATGTCACTTGAAAGAACACTTTAAGCTTAGAAAATGACATCAGAATCATCAGAATTTAGGGAGATTTAGAGCGGTCCCCGAAGCCAGGGTGCTGGGGATTCTGGAGGATACTTTGTGGATGATACACAGCACATTGCCAGACATCATCTGAATGGAAGCCAGGAGCTACGGTACTTTGAGATTACATTTCTAAATGATGGGTATAATTTGTTTTAATAACATTCATTTTTAGTTAAATGCATGTTTCGGACTGTTTTCAGTTTTTTAGATTCAGTGCAAGCACCCGTTTCAGGCTGGAAGCACAGTCTGTCACTGCCTGACCTCTCCCCACGCTCACTTACACGACCAGTTTCCAAGAGCAGTCAGGAGTGCTTTCTGTATTACCACAAGTCTGCAAATACAGCAGGGTCTCTTTCCACTTACCCTTCTCCAGTTTTAGTGCTTGATTCCTGCTGACTTTACTACTGAGCATTTATAAGTCAGACTGTAGCAGTACATATGTAGGTTAGAAGTATTTCTTTTAGCTCCCAGGCTAAAACTAAACTTTTGTCTGTCTGTCTGCTACCACTAGTGTTAAAATGGAAGTAACAAAACAGGAGAGGTGCTTGGATTTCGCTTTATTAAATATAACCAATAAATTGTGCGGAGTCTAGGTCACGGAGGGGCTGTGCAGAGCTTTTGCTGTGCAGAGTAGCAAACCTCTTTGGAACAGTTTCTTACATTTCTCCTTTGATTTTCCATATACAGCAAGTCTTGTTCCTTAGGTAATTCTGGTGTGAAAATGAATATATTTAATGTAAGCGCACAATGCTACTTTTGATCCAGTTATATGGGGTTTGCTTTTAAGTAGCTTTTTAAGTGTAAAGAGAAAGTAAACCACAAATCACATTTCTAAGAAGTAGATTTGTACTTCCCGCAGTTAGCAGCAGCATCTTTTGTGGCTAAAATCATAGATATTAGTGAAGAATTGAGTTGTGAGGTTGCTCAGCTGCATACCTTTACCAATACTTTCTGCATAATCAGTTTTCATATTAAAATGAGTTTCAGCCTAGGAAAAGAAAAAGTTCATCACACAAGCAGCTCCATGAGTAAGGCATGCTTGTTAGATAATAGTTGCTCTTATCTGCCATTTAGATTTGCACATTGTGCTCGTTCCTCTTCTGTTTGAAGAGCCAAGTGGTGGATGAATTATTCTTGGTATTCCTGATTCTCAGTTCAAGCCAATAAACACCTGTGTGCGACTGGCCTGCTGGAGCCATTCCACAAAACATCTGGGCATGCTCCAGCCCTGGGGCTACTGGCGTTCAAAACAGTCCTCCCTGATCCTGCCGCTTATTGCTGCTACAATCTGGGGCCTGATTAAGCATAGGAATTGGGTCAGGAATCCCGTCAGTCCTGAGCACCCAGCTCTCTTGGTGGTAGAAGAGGCAGATAAAGGGACAAGGACTCTGGTGGATTATGTGAGTGGTGAGGGAGAGGGAACTGCACGTGATTCCTTTGAGAGCAGAGAGAGTTTTCCATGGGTCTTCTGTGTTATGTAGCGCATAGAACAGACCTGTGCTGGAGGATGAATCATTGTGTAGTAAAAGCGAGCGTGCTCTGTGGAGTCTGTACTTTCTTTGTTGCAGCCGTTGGAAGTACGTAGTGAATGAAGCAGACAACTCTAGAGAAGAGAACATGTTTTCATGATTAAGGCATCAGTGCAGCCCTGGGGAACTGAATCGTATCCCTGCTTCTGGCACAGATTTCCTGTGTGATACTAGTCACTTTGCACATGTGGTTGCTAATTGTGTTTTTCTTGGTGCTGGGTACAGTGGAGGGTAATTTGTAGAAGTGCTGAGCACTTGCAACTGCAAGCTGTAGGCAGCGGGATCTGTGGTGTGACTGTAAGCACTGCTGTGCAATGAATACTGAGAAATCAAGCACCATGCATCTCAATGAGGCAGTTAAGAAAAGCGGAGGCAGGAATTAAAGATAAATCTTCATGAGTTCACTTTACATGGCTGGAGAACAGCTTGAACGGGACTGTCCTTCTTAAACATGTCCTTCCTCATACCTAAAATAAGAACAGCAAACTGCTAGCTAAATACAAATGCAGCATTTGTGAACAACTGCTGAGTTTAAGATAGTTGCACTGAACTGAGAATTTGACTGTTTAGCACTTATCTATCATTCATCTGTCTTGCCTTTTTTTATCTTTCAAAATGGAGATATTATTGTATCACTAGGCAAAATCACTGAAGAACCCCATAATAAACCAATATTGTGAGTACATGCATGGTTTTACTGACCAGATTCAAAGCAATCATTAGGGATTCAGTAACCTCTGTGTATTTTCTCATAGTCTTAACATGGGAAATACAGGCTTAGCAGTACAGTAAAATGGCAACAGTTTAAAAGTACTACACTGTTCTGTTGGTAAAAGGTAAAAAAGACACTTCAGACAAACTTTATGGGAAGGTACATTTTGGAGTGAAGAGTTACTTTTCTGCTAACTCTCAAAATAAAACATGGTAGTTTGTGTAACGTGTATTTTATAAATCACAAATTTCCTGAAAAATAAATACACAGCTATCCTTGTATCAAGATGGGCAAAGAAAAAATAATTAGCTTTCATATGAGAAATGGAACAATGAGAACAGGAAAGCACATAATTTCACAGATTTCTGTAATATAAATAGCTTTGTCAGTTTAAATATACTTTGTCACTCCTTGATGCTGTAATCCAATGCCAAGAGAATTATGATTTCCTTTTTAGAAGTGCCATTTAGCATGTTTAGCATATTTTATTAGAAAACTCTTCTGTTCCTCTATCAGTTAATCACAGCTTTATAAAACATTACATTTGGAAGTATCGGTTTCATGTGATTAGAAGAGGTATGCTCCTGAGGTGTTAGTTACGTAGGTGACTAGAAAATTACAGGAATCTTCTTACTTTAGTAATCACAAGCACATACTAAAATGGAAAACCAATTGTTCTCTAAATTTTGTTTATTTGAGATGTAGCCTATGTTTTTCTTGGAACCCAGAGCCATACGCTCAGGATGCACACAAGGCACCAAAAGTGAAATTCAGGCAATCCAAATCCACAAAGCAATTCAGAAAACCTCTGCTTTATTGACTATTAAATCTGAGTTCACTTGGCTTCATTGTTATAGTCCTGTCTCCTAAGTGCCAAAGCTCAGGTTTCTATGAGTACACCAAACTCGGAACTTCTAGCTACGGATTCTTTTAACCCCACTAAACGACAACTCTGCGCACAGTTCCCTAAGTGGTTCATTTCAATCCAGGCACTCTGAGCACACCTACCGCTTACTGACACCACTGGCTGCTTCCAGGAGAGAACTCGTGCTGGGCTCTCGGCTACTTGATGATTGCTCATGAATGCGTGGAGTTGTCTAGTGGAGTGGTGAGTTACAAAGGACGTGGGTTCCTGCATGCTTCAGTGCCACTGCCTTACTGTTTTAAGCTTCAGCCTCTTTTACAGAAGGCAATCATGTCCTCAGGCAGGGACTCTGGCTCCATGAAATGTCCTAGGAAAGCACCTTAGAGCCCTGCACCCACATGGGCACCCCTGGGCTCCTAAGAGGACTGGTGGGGATAAGGAACACCCCTGTGCTCATCCTTCCTGTTTGGCAGACTAAAGAGCAGAGCACAGCACAGCTGGATGTACATCACGGTGTGCTCATATAATCAGAGAGCAGTAAAATGTTTTTGAGGTTAATTTGAACATGGTTTGCTCTCTGTCTCAAGTGCAGCATATATAATTATCACCAAAAGTGGAGATGAAAAAAATCACCAGATAATCCTTTAATGTTACCAGTGTGGCAGATAACCCCAAGTATTTTTAACTACAGTATTCTACTTCTACATAGAATAAAGTTAAGCTGTATTTAATTGTCAAGTCTCAATCCAGTGAGATTGCAAACACTCCCCACCGAAGATTCTACTCGATCCTTCACCATGTGGAGTATTTAATTCCAGTTTTGCTTACTTTAAACTGAATGGAATTTTTGTACCAAATTAGGACAGCTAAGTCCTTCCACGCAGAAAACTACTGAGCTCACTAGATATTTTTCTGTCATGGCGCCAAACCATACAGCAATCATGCTGAGGATATGGATGAAAGAAAGGTTGCTCTGCACAGTAATTCCATATAGGAATCACTATTGATTACAGCAAGGATACTTTATGGGTGGTGGTAAATTATGAGGTTTCTCTTGTAAGTGAGAACATTGATTTACATGAGTAATGCAAAGCCTCACACGTAAGCTGAACTCAAACTTTAACTGTCAGCCATAACACATCTATTTATACCACAGATCTGTGCTTAGCCACTTATATTTAATTATAATCAGTTGCGGTGCCTCCATTTTCTGTGTTTACTCAGACAATCACATTTCTGAGGTCAAATGCAATGACAGTTACACTGTAGTTATTTGAAGACCTTCTCAGTTGTACACTCTGCATGTATCTGAGGACAGAATTTCTGGAGAAGAAAGGATGGGTACAATTCGTCAATCCTTCCTAACACGAATAAAATTTCACACACATCAATTTTAGTCAGGGCATGTCTGTGCTGCACAACACAGTGCTGTGGAGAGACAGCCAAAGCAGCTCAGAAGGAGCCAGCCTGGGTAACTGGAAGCAGTTTAACCACATTGCTTAATGCTGCACACTGTCTAATTTACCCTGGTTTTTAGCAAAGTAAATTAGCTTTGGCAAAGCATTGCACAAACAGGCTAGCCTGCTTCCAGCCCATGAGCCAGCTTTGGCACCAATTTCTACATCGTACTTATTGTGCAGTATAGTGTATCTAGAAGGAGATGCAAAGGACTCCTTGCATAAAATCTTGCAGATTCTGATCCCTGAATCTTATTCTGCACCCATTTTAACGTCACAAAACTTCTATTAACTCTTAAATGTCACTGCCTCAAATTTAGTGGTGTTACTGAGCCAAATATCAAAAGAATAAAATACCATTATATCTGAATCGCTAAAGCATCTCATTTTGAGCTTAGCATGCTTAAGTATGCTTATGTTTATTTGACACCAGTAGCAAACTGCTAATTAATAGTAGATTTCTTCAGAATCTTAAGTCTAATTGCTTCCAATCTCTGGCATACAAAGACAGCACAAATCACAAACACTGAAAACCTGAAACCTGAGCAGAACAATGTCACTAATGTAACTAAACAATGTCTTAGAATGTCACAGGTACTAGATTTCTTGAAAGAGTCTGGTAAAAATTATGTTTAACTGTCTGCTGCCTCACTGTATTGTTGATGTTGACTGAATTTTTCCTCCCATGGAAATCAATGACAAAATATGTTTAGGACAATGGAATAGACACTAAAGTCTTGCCATGTCTGATTTTCCAGTAGGGCCAGAATTCCCTTCTATCTCTTGAGAACTTATTTTGAGCTACCTAGTAAGACTAATCAATCAGCAACCTTTTAAATACCAAAGCTATAGGTACTAACGGGATATTCCAGGAAGGATTGCATTCAAACTATTCAGTGTTATTCTTCCCAAATCTAAACAAAGCCCATGGGCATGCATTTTGAAACAATTGCCTTCTTCATCCCCCAAATTTTACATTATTAGTTGAAGGCTTGCTGGAAATCCACAGCTCTCACAACAAACTGAAATATTCGTTTATAAATAAATTGGATACAAAAAGAATAGACGAATAGTTTTAATCTCCATCTCTGCTTGAGCTAAAAAATAAATGTTGTAACAGCTAGATGCAACTCTTTCCACAATAAAATAACTAACTACCAAAATGTGGGAGAGCTTCAGATATTGTAGAACAACCTTAATGATTCTAAATTTTAACTAAAATGCTTGATTTTATACAGTTATTACCAGAGGATGAAATGGAAAAAATCAGAGGAAAAATGTACCCATATGGAGGACTATAATATCCATGGCACAGATCTTGAGAATAATACCAGAAAATTGGCTGAATTAACTGTATCAGAATGTACACTATGCAAGAAGACATGTATATGTAACACGTGTTTCTGCTTCTCTCACTAAAAATTATTTTGATAAAAAGGCAATATTCTGCCTCAATTTGAATTTCTACTGTAAAACAATTTTGAATTGAACTATAATCCCTATTCTCATTCACACAGGACCTACTTTTCATCCAAGTTGAGTGAAGATGTCAGGATCATCAAATAGATTATATGGATTTAAAGGAGAGTTGTTTTTTTATTTTGTTTTGTTTCATAGCTTGTTCCTTGTACTGTTTGTACAATCACTATGAAACAAAAAGTTAGATAAATAAATTCTTTTTCTGCCAGGCGCTGGATTAATATTCAACCTTGCAACATCCAACTCTTGCTTCGTATTGATTTTACGGCCAATTGCTGCTCAGACCCTGTAGTGATTTGGCTTTATTCTGATCCTCGCTCCTCTCACAATTTCACATTTTCCCATATAATATTACTGTACCACCATAAATGATAGAAGCAGTCTCTTCAAAAACAGTGATTGGTCCAAGGTGCTTGAATTCCTGCCTTAAAATGACATACAAAGAAGAGAAAATGCCCTGACGTCAATCTTGGCTTGCTTTCTGATTATATAACGGGGGGGGGACGACGACGACACACTTGAATATTTTTATTTTTATGTTACTTTTCATAAAAACTATGCAGGGAATTAACCAGATTTGGTGACTGCTCACGTAGTGAAATGGGTCTAATACAGTAATAACTGGAAAGCTGAATGCCTGAAGGAGATTTTAAATTCTCTTCAACTACGTTTGTATTAGTACCTAGTGTGAGAATTGGTCTTCATGAAACAGCAAAACTCTCTTTCCCAATTAATATTGAAATGTTACACTCCAAAATACTTTCCACCAATACCTCTTGTTTTTCCTCTAGAAAAAGAAAAGCATAAATTGAGACTACTTATGTCATTCTATTTCTAATTTTAAAACAATCTCCCTTTCACACTCCCACCCCAAAACAAACAGCCCAATCCTTTCTCTTTTTCCCCTTGAAAAAAGAGGCAATTTTTAGAAACCTCTAGGAAAGCAAAAGCATTTGGGCTTGTCAGTAACATTCACTTGAGAAGGGTTTATGTTTGAAAGCTAAAAACACTGCTTTCAATCACACTACAAGACACACTGTCTGCAGTATTACTTTTAATATCAAGTTATTTCAAATGTCTAGCACCAGAGGGTAAATATATGAAAAATAAGTATAGCTGGCAATTTTTATTCCTACATTTAAAAATAATCCTCAAATTATTTTATTTTTACTAGCCAGACTGTCAAATTCTTTTCTAAATTGCAAAGGTGACTTGCGGTTCTGGAAAACCCCAGTGTAGAGTAGGTGCTCTGATTTGCAGGGTTACCTGCAATACTGAATACTGAATTGCTGTACTATTAAGGTCAGAATACTTAACTAGTTCTACAAAAAGCATTTTATATAAACATCAAAATGCAGATATTCTTTCTCCATGGGAAAATATAAGCAAAATACAAATTACTTATGCAAGGAAGAATCAATCAGAAAAATAAAGACAATCAGCCATTAATCTTTTTCTGTGTGTAAGAGGTTGTACCAGCACATGAACAAATCAAGGTAACTGATGGAGTCAATACTTTGGTGACTCATCCTGTAAAAGCCAGCATTTTAAAACAATACAAAATTTATTTGTGTATTTAAATTACTCCAGAATATCTTTCTCTGAAACTTTCCCTTTCAAAGTTACTACGTATACATATTTTAATCACAGAAATTTCAGACAAAATATACATGAAGAGGGAATTGAGGTTGCAGATAGTGGCAGAAGAATAATGTAGGAATTAGAAAGAAATTACAAAGAAAAATCCTCAAATGTAATTATTCCCCACTCAAGTATCACAAATGAAGAAAAATGGAAAAAAAAAAGAGCCCACCATGTTAAGCCCCCTATAACCTGACCTTTATCTTTTTCTGATGCTTCAAAGAAAACATGTGAATGAATTTACTACATCTTTCAAAATCAGTCTCTTAACCTTGTACTCCACATATTATTAGGACATAGTCACAGTGTTCTGGTTATTACACCACACTGATCATTTCTTTCAAATTATACTCAGAAATATTCAGCAGACCTGAGCAGGAGTAAATAGAAATGAACAAAAGCGAATAAGCAACCATCTATGAATAGAGTGAAGCACCATCTAGAAACAGTTCATATGATGAAATACTATACTCTTTACTGATAAAAACTTATCAAATCATATTCAGTCTTGGACTGTAAACCATGATTCCCATCTGGAAGCCATTTCTAAAAAAGAACATCAGAATCTCTGTTATTGTCATTGTTCAGAAATAAGTATCCAGATATTGTTAATCTATAACTTATTAACCAAAATATTGTCCTGCTTTATTTTCCTTGAAGATTTTTGAAGTAACTTTCTCTTTGCCAAACATCCACGCAGACACTGGATAATTCTTTGTTACTTGCACTGAGTCCCATTTGGAAAATGGTCTTTTCTAGTTTTAAATTTTTAGGGCCAAGACAGCATATTGCGCAATGTCTAACCTTTAAAAGTCCTCACTTTAGATCATTTGGTATTTTTTGAAACTCATAATTGTGCAGAAAACAAGAGGTAAGTAGCAGATCACAGCACATAAATCAGTGACTCGGTGAAAAATGAGTAGCCATTTGCTTTCAAAGGATTACGCTTTGAACACTGTTTTCCATAAAATCATGCTTAAACAAAAGATATCAACAGATTCATCATACCCTCTCCCTCTTTTTACATTCTCAGGTAGGTTACCTCTTGAGTGGAAACTTTCCCTTTCTGTAAACTACAACCCCCTACGTAAAAAAAAACCCTAAGCCCAAAACAACAAACTGACAATGGACTTCAAGAATTTAAGATGCATAAAAATGTTCATTAGCAACTCTAGGCACCTAGACAATGCATTTGTACTGATACGGAATGGAAGAAAGCCAGCACAACTGGACTTTTTATTTCTCTACCTAAGCCCTTTTCACCAAATCAGTCAGACTTCTGTTTGTGAATGCCAAAATATGTAAATTTTGCAACAAAAGCAAGCTTATGAACTATAAAAGGAAATAAATATTACATTTTCTCCTGATTTTCAACTTGTCTGACAAACTGTCCATAAAAAAGCTATGGCTATTTAGCAGAAGGAATATCTGGTATTATTCACCTTGAATGGCTTTTTTATGTAAGCCTCTAAACCTGTTTTTTTTAACAACTTGTATTACTGTTCTACTTTAACAGTAATCATCTACACCCTTGTCTACAATAATGTGAGGAAAAATATACAAGAATTGCTTACACATTCTGGCTGCAGCTTTGAGATTATAAAAAAGATTTCCAATTGCCCTTCTCTCCGTGTTAGCAAATTCTTCATATTCCCCATTTCTTTGTGCCAGTAACAAATGATCTCATCTTCGACTGTGCTCAGGCAAACGTTACTTACTGTTTTATAAAATGTTTTTTACATTAAAAAAATAGCGAAAATAACTTACAGCAAAAAGTCACTAGTATATAAATGTACTATTACTAATTTATAGAATTAGCCAAACATGATGCAAATGCCATCTTTGGGTGCTCTCAGTTCCTGAGTAAGCTGCTTTTGAGAATACATTATGACTTTATTGCCTGGAAGTTTTTGCACCCTTATTTTGAGTCACCAAGAGAACACTTTCATAATTCTTTTAAGTGAATACTTTATGTAACACTTCAGCGGTCAGACAAAATTTTCTAAGATACCCATTTATAGTCTTGTGCCAGGAGGTATTAATAGCACTGATCGATCAAATCTCGTAAAAGCAAAAGGTGGTACTAAATATCCTTCGGTCTGGCTCAGAAAGGGAGTTCCAAAGAGCTTATTTCTTAGTGACAGCTGATGCAAGAAGGCATGACTTCTTGTCATCCAGCAAGACAAGCTTGAATGTAACAGGGGGAATGACCCAGGGTTTACCTACCAATGCAGTAATGATGACTTGCTATAGTCAATACATGTCTGAAAACATGCAGAAGACTATAAGCACACAGACTATGAGCAGACAGAAAGAAGAGAAATTGTTCATATCACATAAGGGAATGAATAACAAGTTTAGCACTGAAGAATGCAGTTCACGGAATCCAGTGAGGTGCAGGGCAAGCATGGCAGAGTACTTGTGTGTGAACAGGCACCATCTGGAAGTCCCTGCACCCACAAACGGTACCCTAGACTCCCTAACCTTCTCATCTGACTTGAAGGTCAGGGAAAGAGTTCATGAACAGCAAAAGTAATGAGATCTGATTTCTTAAAAAATTATGTGCTTTGTCCGTTAATCTTCTGCTGTCCAACTTCTCCATAAAACACCCACTGGGTAAGGCTGAGGTTACTCAAGTTCTAAGTAGCCAGAATAGTTTGAACATAACCCTTTGCTGGCTGGCTGCTACAGAACATGATCTGCAGCTCATGTGCCTGTCTTTACCTCAGCTAGGGCATTAATTTTGCTTTCCCATCAATTCAACAACCTCAGGTTTTACGACACTTGTAGGAGCTTAATTATTTCCAAGACTACAACCCTCTGTGAAATATGGTTCAAATTTGTTATTGGGTTCAACAGTTACATCGGACAAATGAAGAGGATGGGGACCAAAAGAAGAAGACTGCTAGAAATACTATTTTTCTTTAAAAATGGAATTTGATTTTATAAGGATAAGTGCAATACTATATACTTAAATCCTACAGAAAGCTACAAACTCATCAGGTAAAACTAAAAGTAATGGATTAAAAATTGGTTGTATTATTCAATTGCAAGGTGACAACAATCCCTAGTAGGATTTGAAAAACAAATGCAATCCTAGAATATAGTAGTTGAGGAACTTCCAGAAGAGATTAAGACTGTTAATGCCATTGTAATGAGTCCTGGTGAAGTGACCTTCAAAATAGTGTCATATCTATTTAAAACAAGCTCAGGCTGGAATACAGATAGTAAGTGATATTAAGATGGTAAGAGAAATTAAGAACTTGCAGGCTGGGACTAGAGGAACTGAACATGTTTAACCTAGCAAAGTGAAGTCTAAGAGAAAAATAACTCAGAACCTGGGTGTAAAATCTAAGGAGGAAAAGTATCTGCTGAAAATAAAGGACCAGTGTTGATAAAAGAACACACAGACACAAAATAGTCATGCGAATTGAGGTTAGAAATTAAATCAGACGGCTTCTAGTCCTGAAAAGAGTTACACCAGTCTTCCTATGAGTAAAGTCTTCTCAGTCTTCTGCTGAGCTAAAAACTCAGTATTTCCCTGCCACAAAGAAGAAACGAGAAAAGCACCTCCAATCTCTAGATCATCCATAGGCCTTTAGCTTCTAATACCAGATTCCAGCAGCATTCCTTGCTGCTGGCTTGCAGGATGTGTTCTGCTGATTAATTTTTTGAATTATCTGTCCCCACAGGAAGTTCCACTGGTAACTAAGCCTAAAGTAGTTAGCAAAGCTCCTTTTATGGCCAGTGGAGATGCATACTCTTGGAGGGCAAATCATTCCATTTATCTTTGCCACCAAAATATCTTTCCTTTTTGCTGTTCAGTGGAACAGAGTGATCTCATTCAGGAATTCTATTTCTTACTCCACCGACTTCTTGCTTAAAATACTCAGCTGTGTGTGAAAACTCACTGTCTTCACTCCCCACCACCCATAGTGGGGATACTTTTACTCCCTTTCACATTGTGCTGTTTGCACCTTCTGCCCATCAAATTCCACTTTTTAATAGTTATTATTTCAGTAAAAAAAAGGAGATTTAATCCTTTCTGAAAATGCATTCATACATAGTATTCCATGAAGAAAAGTAACAGCATTAAGTCTTTACTCAGGCTTTTTACTAAAAACGCTCTTTCATTTTCACCTAATCAAATGATTCATTCTCTATCTTCTCAAAATCATGCAGTGATGCAGTCAAACAAAAAAAGCCAATGCTATTCTTAAGTCATTATTTTGCAGACTACGTGTATTTATCTGTAGTTACTGCTTGAAAGTTTCAGCAAGTAAAATGTATATGGACAATCATCGCCATGAAAAAAATGTATTAATCCCACACTGTTATTCTCTGAGATGCATCCCACATATGTTCCATGACCTTCCTCATTATTAGAGGTTTCTTACCCAGCTGAGTTCTCAGTTGGTAAAATAAACCGTGGTTATGTTACCTCTATGGTACTGGAACAGCTGGGTACTTCCTTTGGACTGTCCTTGAAAGGATCATTTTCCTATGCCTTCAAAAGGACACATATACTGGAAAGTTGAACATAGTTTCCTAACACTATTCAGCTAGTGTGCAACAGATAGCCATTCCTTCCCAGGTGAAATCTCAGTATGTTTTTTATTATCTGATAGGCATTTTGGTGGACCCATATAACTGAAGAGTATTCACAGGTGGGAAAGGAAGACAGGGAATATACTTCTTACAGGCCCAGTGGTACAGAAGAGGAGACAGGCAGGTGGAAGTACAGTAGCAACTTTATAGCTCAAAAATTTATCCAGAATGATGGCTCATTCACATCATGGATCAACAATACATTTGGGGAAATAGTATTAATTTCCATTCTGCATTTGGGCTGCTTTATTTTCATATTTATAGTTTTGTGTTGTCCTCAGTATGTGAATAGACTCTATTTATTGGCACTGCCCATATGTATTTCCTTAGTTTCTTTCAAGAACACTAATTTTACGTACTTTTGGGTTTTTTTTTAACAGAAAGCCTTTTAAGCAAAGTGTGTCACACTGCCTCAAGAGCTAAAAGCGGTCAATATCAACCTTACTAATTAAAGCTGTTTTCTTCTAACGGCTGAAAGCTAGTGAAAGGTTTAAGCTGTACTGGCTAACATTCAAGCTAAAAAGTATTCAGTGGTCTTCCTTTAAACTCTGGTGTAAAGTAACTCTAATCATTGCATTGTTTAATTTCACACGAAAAGCACGGCCTGTTTTATCACTTTAAGTCCTCGTACCTGCTAGTGAGAAGTGTCCTGCCCCTTCAGCCTCAGCTTCACCAGCCACAACCCTGGGCCCTGCTCTCAAACCTTTCTGCCCAGGACTACTTCACCCTTTGTGGGCTCCCAGCCGCCTTTCCCGGGTCACAAATGGCTTTAAACCACAGCGCAAGCTTTATTAAGGCATCCATACTTCTGCACCACCACAGTTTGAGGGTCACTGTAGACAGCAGTTGCAGCAGCAACTATCCATCGCACCCATCCACCTGCTCTCCGGGGTTCGGAACACCTTCATCCTGTCCCTCAGGGCCACGGCTGCCACACCGGTCTGCATGCCGAGGGAGCGAGCCGGCAGCCCGGGGCACCGGCCCTTCCCCACCTCCTGCAGCTCCCCTGTTTACGCGGTAACGGCTGCCGCCAGGGCCCGTCCCCATAGCAACGCCTCCAGCCTCGGCCGCGGCCCCAGCGGCGATGGCGGGGTTCGGCGCGGCTCACCCGTGGCAAGGTATGGGGGATAGCTGTGAGGGGCGGCCATCCGCGGGGCTCCTTGCGGCCCCGGGGCACCCGCACACGGCCGTCGGGCTTCAGGATCCCTCCTGCCTCCTCCCGAGGCCTGTAGTGAGTCGGCACCATGCCGGGTGCCTTGGGCTCTCCTTGGGTGAAGCTTCCCCATGCCCGTCGCACTATGGTGACTCTCGGCCTGCCCAGGCTTGGCGGGCAGGTCTGACACCACCCGTTTTCCTGCGTTTAAAGAAGGTGTCTGGGGAGGGGCACTCTTGGGGTTGTATGTGTCTGTCCACCTGCACGTTTTAACAGTGGTATCAACTTAACAAGGAGAACCCAAATGCCTTTTGTTACAGCCACAACAGAGGCCTGCTGCTGTCAGCTTCCTGAGTTTCTAATAGCACCAGAAATTAATGTGGAAAACCCCTGTGTTTTCACCTGGTTTCCCCATTTCTTTAAATTTCAAGTGGTCTTCTTCAGTTCTCCTTTCCCCATTTCAAGGATTTAAACGAGTTAGAAAAAACCAGCTGCCCAGTGAAGTGGTGGAGTCACCATCCCTGGAGGGAGTTAAAAGAAGTGTAGATGTGGCATGCAGGGACACGGTTTACTTGTGAACTTGGCAGTGCTGGGTTAACAGTTGGACTCAGTGATCTTACAGGGCTTTTCCAACCTCAGTAACTATGATTCTATGTTTATTTCAAATTATAACAGCCACAGCATAATTGCATTTGTCATTTGAGAGCTCAGGTTGGTCATTTTCTGACTGTTTGTTTGCAAAGGTATTTGATACTTTGTTACTAGTTGGCTGACACCATGGGAGCAGCATTGGCCAGGGCAGCTAAGTGGACTGCTGCTGGTTCTGGAACTGGCACACTCGAAATCACCCCTTTGAACGAATCTCTTTTAAATCAAATTATAAAGTTTGTGGAGGACTTCAGCACTAGATATCCTCAGGAAGCAGCATTTGTCTTCAAAGAGCCCCTTGAGTGGAAAACACAATTGGATCGTTCAGCATTTGGAAACGGTTATGAGATCACGTAAGTCTGAATTGCAGTGTATTTTGAAATTACGAAGGTGAGTTACCAAGCCAACTGTGCTTTAGTGTATTTGGGAGTCTAAAATGGGTGGGGGTTTAATGATGTGTATTAAAAATTTGAGTTAAAATTTGCTGCATTTTTATTATTTTTTTTCCCTCCAAGAGTTTGAGACTGTTCTATCTTGGATGTGATAACAGACCCATTTGGTTGATGATGTTTACAGCTTACACTCTTTATTCCTTTTATAAAAAGCATATAACAGTGAGTAATCCTGAGATTTGTGTTAGTGTTAGGAGTGGCTCCTGTGTGGTGGGTTGACCCTGACTGGATGCCAGGTGCCCACCAAAGCCACTCTGTCACTCCCCCTCCTCAACTGAATGGGGAAGAAAAATATGACAAACAGTCCATGATTGAGATAAGGACAGGGAGATCACTCACCTATTACTGTCATGGGCAAACTAGAGTTGACTCACAGAAATTAATTTAATTTATTGTCAATAAAAAGTAGGATAATGAGAAATAAATGCAAATCTTAAAACACCTTCCCTGCAGCCCCTCCCTTTTTCCCAAATTCAACTTCACTCCTGATTTTCTCTGCCTCCTCACCCTTAAGCAGCACAGGGGTTTGGGGAATGAGGATTGCTGTCTATTCATTGCACATTGTCTCTGATGGTCCTTCCTCCTCACCCTCTTCCTCTGCTCCACCGTGGGGTCTCGCCCACAGGAGACAGTGCTCCATGAACTTCTCCAACATAGGTCCTTCCTATGGGCTGCAGATCTTCATGAACTGCTCCACTGTGAGTCCCTTCCAAGTGTGCAGCCCTTCAGGAGCAGACTGCTCCAGCATGGGTCCCCTGCAGGGTCACAAGTCCTCCCAGCATGGGATCTTCTCTCCACCGGTCGTGCCACTGCTCCAGTACAGGCTCTCCATGGGGTCCCAGCCTCCTTCAGGGACATCCACCTGCAGACTTGCAGTGAAAAAATTGGTTTACCTTGGAAGTTTTCTGAAATACAGTTTAAAGAAATTGTATATGTTTTATCATGTGAAGCTTGTTCTCTAAAATTTGCGGTTAAAGGTCATTCTAAAAGGATATAATTCAATTTTTCTAGTGAAGCAACTGTTCAGTCTGAAGCCAGAGCTAAAGATGGCCAGTCATTGCTGCTTTTCACGAAATCAACTCTCAGAGTTCGTAGTTTCGACCAGCTGTCCTGTGTGCTACAAATTGCAATGGAAAAAAAGTTAAACGAAGTACAGGCATGCCTTGAAGGTTTCCTTTCTTCTTTTGTTTTTATAATATTTTCTTTCTCTTAAAAAGTATGTCTTCTTCAGTTCATGTTTATGAAATGTGCAGAAAGGCATGCCTTCATTCTAAGTATATGGGAAGGTGGCTAAAAGGGCTGATAAAGAACTTAATGCATCTTTTATTTTCACAGAAATCACTAACAGAAATCTGGAATAAGCTAAAACTGTTGAATATCATCTACAAATTAACACATACTTAGTAATACCCTAGCTATTGCAGCAGGCAGTAGGTTTAAATTTCTGAAAAAGAATGTCTTATTGGAGGCTAATAGCAGTTTTTTATGTATTTGTAGTTTGAGCTTCTTTCAAAATGTTACATCCTTAAAAAAACAGCAAAAAAAAAAAAAAATCTTACGCAATTAAGATATTCTCACTTGTACAAGCTTCACAGTGAGCGCTTCTAAGTCCTTCTCACAGTGGCTTTTAAAATAGAGGATCAAGTACTTCTCATGTGTTATATTCAAGTCCAGGTATTCAAGTGTGTCAGATTTTCAAACGACAAGAAGACCCTTGATATGCTAAATGGGATATCCTCCTCTTCTAGCTAGAAGAGATTAGTAATATTATTTAGGAATTAGAAAATTAGAAAAAAATTGAGAAATTCCAAAACTGGGAATTTGGTAATTGGAAATTATATCTGCAATGCTAAAATGTAAATGCTCATACTGGATCAAACATCAGAACGATCTAATAATCTAGGGTCCTGTCACTGGCAGTGATCAACCATGAATAATAAGGAAGAATAATAAGGACAGGGTATCATGCAGATGCATTCATAGATGCATGGGACTTCATTTGCTGAACACAGTGAAATGATTTTTTAAAACCCATTGATATGCAATTATGTCACTGTTTACCAAAAACAACAGCTGGCATAGCTGAGGAAGTAATGGGGCCATTGGGAATGCTCCTGAAAACCTTTAAAGATGTTCTTTAACACTAAATCATATTTACAAAATTATCAGTTTTCAGTGACTTAAATCCATTGATTTCCTGTTTTTTTTGTGATCAGCCAGGCATATTTTTGGGGAAGGTGGCCGTTGATAAAGGAAAGTATGTAATATTCACCTCTTGGTTGCATGAGTCTTAATCTTGTGAGAAAGATAAAAAGTATTTGTTTTGCCTAACAGTTTCAAATGTAGTATCACATTATATGATTCTGGTTCATGTTTTCAGCTAACAGAGATCCTATAGTGCAAATTCTTGGCCCTGAATATGGGACTGTTGAAGGAGAAGATAGGTCCATCTTGCATTTACTTGAGAAAGTGAAAAAATGTAGTGACCCTGAAACAGAGGTGAAAATGAAAATCTTTCTTCTGCTTCATCAGTTGGATTTGCAATTGCTTAATAGTTCTTTGAAACAAATTTCACAGTAAGTGCATTTCAATTGGAAGCTAAGCATGTCAGCCAGTGCATTTTTTTGTTTTTATTGTTAAATTAGATTGGTTTCAACCCACAGTGTGTGCTTTTGGTGTGACATTAAAAAAAGTGATTGAAATAACTTTCACTTTCATTAAGTTATTGAAAAAATAGTCTTCTTTTTTTTTTTTTCCACATGGAGATTTTGCTGTAGGTGTGGCTGTGCAAGTGTGTGTCTGTGAGTGTGGTTTGTTGCATGTGTTTTGCATTTTGGTAGCAAATTGAACTTACTTGACCAAACAACAAAGTTAGTTAAATTAAAAGTTTTCAAGGAAATGTTTATTTCTTCATGGAAATATATTAAGTATTACATTGAGCCTGTTTCAAAACTACAAAGACTTTATGTTAGCTATGGAACTAAAATTTTACTAAACTAACAGATAAAAATAAGAAAAACAATTGAAGATGACCCATTTCCAGCTTTTGTTGCTACTATGAAGACTTGGTGTAAAAGAAAAAAATCATGTAATATTCTCTTTTTATTTCTCTGAGTACATCCTTTTCATGAATACATTTTAACCCATTTTCTATTAATTTCAGAGATGTAAGACTAAATCCAGCTGCTGTGAATAATGAAGTGAGTCTTCTCAAGAATTTCTCTGGGGAAGGAGAAAATACAGTACTGGAATCACTGGAGTATACATCAGGTCCAGATCTGATCATATCTCATGCTTATACATAATCTCATTAAAGTACTTATCGTATGATTCTGTGATAGTTGACTTCTGTGTGAAATTTGCTAAATTAATTTCAGTAATAAATTTTAAGTGTTTAAAGTGTTTATTTCTATTTTAAAGTTATACTGTAAAATAGACAGTATTTTCAGATATGGAATGCTGTTCTTCAGCCTTTAAGTACAGAAATAATCTCAATTTATGAGTATCTTCAGTAGAAATAGAGGAAGTGAACTGAGTCCCTGATCCCGTGCTAAGCACAGTTGCAATTCTGAGTTGAATCAGGGCACAGGTCTAAGAGCTTTCCATAATCAATTCCTCAGAGTATGAATTCTTGAGAGTAATGTATTGTTTGGGTATATATGTTATATTAATCATCAAGAATAACTATAAAA